CACGATCTTGGCTGACTGCAACCTCCACCACCCTGTTTCAAGCAATCCTTCTGCCTCAGTGTCCTGAGCAGCTGGGATTACAAGCGTACACCACCACACCCAGCTAATTTTTGTATTTTTAATAGAAACAGGATTTCCCCATGTTGGCCAGGCTGGTCTCGATATCCTGACCTAAGGTGATCCTCTTGCCTTGCCTTCCCAAACTCCTGGAATTACAAGTGTGAGTCATCATGCCCAGCCTATGTTCCATGCATTTCAACTGAAATTTCTCAACCAGTTTGCTTCCATTCCTATTTTAAGAAAATTTTAATACATTTTATAATCAATATTTATAGGACAAAGTGAGATATATTTTATCTCAAGTTGATATTTGGTTGCTTATGAAAATAATTTAATGTATATAACTTAGTATTCTGTTGAGAGATTTCTTGCTATTTTTAAACTTGGTTTGTGGTTAACACCCGAAATTTAAAACGTCCTATGTTTTCAGATGAGCATGGTTTTCAACACGATTAAGTATGTGATCTGAATTTATATGTTAATTATTCTTTAATTTTGATCTTAAACTCTAGAAAGTAAACCATAAGTTTTAGGGGACATCATAAATTCATTAGACTATAACAAAAGAACATCAAAATATCTGCAAAATCTTCAGATATGTGAACTACCAATTTATAACCACAGAAAGTTTACATAATTATATAATTATTTGTGGGTAAATGTTTGTTTGTTGTCTGTACTCTTATTAAACAACTAACCACCTTTTCAGACTGGTAACAATTATTGCCAATTTTAAAATGTCAACGATGGCCATGTATCAGCTTAGGAAACAAATGAGATTTAATGTTGTATACTACTTACTTTATTTTTTATCACACTGACTTAATTACAATCAATTCTGAAATATTTAACCACTTTGTCCAAACTATCAAGAATATATGTCTATTTGGCTAAAAATGAAGAAGTACTTCTTTTTAAAAAAAAAAAGAAAGAAAGAAAGAAAGAAAGAAATCTTGCTATATTGCCAGGCTGGTCTCAAACTCCTGGCCTCAAGAGATCCTCCTGCCTCAGCCTCCTAAGTTGCTAGGACTACAGGCATGAGCCACTGCTCCTAGCTTTAGAAAACTATACTTTTATGAAAATATATTTGCCTTTATTCCAATGGCACAGTGTCAATTTTTCTACTTCTCTGTATCTGATGAAGAGATGAAAGTCCTTAAAACATGACTAGAGACAAACATCCAAAATATAACACCAGATTCCTTTCCTTTTTGCTCCAAATTTCCCTGGTTGACAAGATGCCAGAGTGCTGCAGCAATAGCATACTGGCAGCAGTGAAAACAACTGACTGCAAGCTGGGCACAGTGGCTCACGCCTGTAATCCCAGCACTTTGGCAAGCTGTGGTGCGCAGATGACCTGAGGTCAGGAGATCAAGACCAGCCTGTTCAACATGGTGAAACCCTGTCTCTACTAAAAATATAAAAATTAGCCCAGCGTGGTGGTGGGCGCCTGTTATCCCAGCTACTAGAGAGGCTGAGAGAGGAGAATTGCTTGAACCTGGGAGGTGGAGGTTGCAGTGAGCCGAGATCACACCACTGTACTCTGGCCTGAGTGACAAGAGTGAAACGCCATCTCAAAAAAAAAAAAGAGTTGACTGCTTTTGGACACTACAGTATTAATTCTCTACTTATGGAAAATTACGGTTTCCTGTCCAGTCTTTATTTTAAAGGCAAAAGCAGTGAAAGCAGGGAAGAGTTAATGTGAATAAGGATTATGGAAGATCCATTCAGGGATGAAGAATTAGGTACAGTATTTACTCAGATAAACCATGAAATGAAATCCCTAGAAATGCTCCAGTACCCCTCTTTGAGTTGTTTAATTTTGTTTTTCTCCATTACTAGACAACTTTTTCTTTTTTTGCAGATATTCTCACTAATTACTCATTTATGTAATGAAATTCTAGCATAAAAATTTAGTTCAAATTAAATCATCATGACAAGTTTTTTAGACTAAAAATATTAACTAATCCAAGAAATCTCTCTAGTGAAATTAGACTATATCAAATTTAATAAAAAGCCAGTGAGAGCCAGGCACAGTGGCTCACACCTGTACAGCACTTTGGGAGGCTGAGGTGGGCGGATCGCCTGAGGCCAGGAGTTCGAAACCAATCTGGGCAACATGGCAAAACTCCGTCTCTACTAAAAATACGAAAATTAGCTGGGCATGGTGACACATGCCTGTAATCCCAGCTACTCGGAGGCTGAGGCACAAGAATTGCCTGAACCTGGGAGGCAGAGGTTGCGGTGAGCCAAGATTGTGCCACTGCCCTCCAGCCTGGGCAACAGACAAGAGTGAGACTGTCTCAAAACCACAACAACAATAACAAAAAGCCAATGAGAATAGTTAGGGTATCTCAAAATTATCTGCATAACAGTTTTAACAGTAAAATGCACATTCAAGTTCCTCTCTGTACTGTCACATACTGGTTAGTTTTACAAATGATTAAGTAGAAAAAAATAATGAGTTTAAGTGCAACAGTTGAAGAAAGAGCAAGACATACTGCCTGGGGGAAAAATCTCCTTCTAATCAGATTTTCATTCACAGTGCACAAAAACTGCCTTATTTATAGTATTATTATGTTTCAGGTCATCAGGACAGAACTGATATCTTTCACAAACTCATAACATCTTTACTGACTTTAACTTTTCATTGTCTAGAAATAGAGCTGGCTAGGCACGATGGCTCACGCCTGTAATCCCAGCACTTTGGGAGGCTGAGGCCAGAAGTTTGAGATCACCTGAGATCAGAAGTTCAAGACCAGCCTGGCCAACATGGCAAAACACCGTATCTACTAAAAATACAAAATTAGCCATGTATGGTGGTGCATGTCTGTAATCCCAGCTACTAGGAAGGCTGAGGCAGGAAAATCCAGGAGGTAGAGGTTGCAGTGAGCCAAGATGGCGCCAGTGCACTCCAGCCTGGGCAACAAGAGTGAAACTCCATCTCAAAAAAAAAAAAAAAAAGAAAAAAAGAAATAGAGCTATTTGTTTGTATTTATTTAGTTAGAGACAGAGTCTCACTCTGTTGCCCAGAAAGGAGTGCAGTGGTGCAGTGGTGGCTCACCCCCGTTCAAGCAATTCTCCTGGCTCAGCCTCCCAAGTAGCTGGGATTACAGGTGCCTGCCAATATGCACAGCTAATTTTTTGTATTGTTAGTAGAGACGGGGTTTCACCATGCTGGCCAGGCTGGTCTCAAACTCCTGACCTCGTGATCCACCTGCCTCCACCTCCCAAAGTGCTGGGATTACAGGTGTGAGCCACCGCACCTGGCATAGAGCTGTTTTAATAATCCACAGATGCCTAATATATTTCCTGTACTTTGAAAGCAAATTAGGCCAGGCACAGTGGCTCATTCCTATAATGCTAGCTGTTTGACAGGCCCAAACAGGAAGATCGCTTAAGCCGAGAAGATGGAGGCTGCAGTGAGCTATGGTCATGCCACTGTGCTGCAGCCTGGGCAACAGAGTAAAGTGCTGGGATTACAGGCATGAGTAAGACTCCATGGAAAGAAAAGAAAAGAAATAAAGAAAGAAGGAAGGAAGGAAGAAAGGAAGGAAGGAAGGAAGGCAGGCAAGCAAGCAAATTGATCCACTATATCTCATATAGACTTACAAAGAAAGAAGAAAATACTATTTTTGTATCAGATAAAGACAGATAAGAACATCTGTTGCATACAAAACATCTATACTATATAGTTAAGATCATAAACCTTAAAGAATGTAAATAGATTTCAATAAATAGAATACATACATATTTCCATATTTTTTAAATCATTGGTTTTCTACCCAGTCTCCAAGGAATGTTAACGCTCCTTTCTCCACATTGCTCAGTTGTTTCCCCTGGGTTGAACTGTCACACCTACACAGGATTCTATCCTCTTCCCTGATCTCTCCTGATACTGTTCCTCATCTCTAAAAGCCTACTGGTCATTTTTTCTTAAATGTACTCCTGTCACCTCAAATTCAACATTTCTAAAATTGAAGTAGTTCCCAAACCATGTCTGAGTCTTTCATATTTCTATCAACTGTAGCAATCATTGAACCTAAGAGACCTTTGACTTCTGCCTTTCTATAGCTTTCCACACTCTTTCATGCCTTCTTTTTTCTTTTTTCTGATACAGAGTCTCTGTCACCCAGGCTGGAGTGCAGTGGCAGGATCTCAGCTCACTGCAACCTCCACCTTCCGGGTTCAAGTGATTCTGGTGCCTCAGCCTCCCAAGTAGCTGAGATTACAGGAGCACACCACTACGCCTAGCTATTTTTTTTTTTTTTTTTGAGATGGAGTCTCACTCTGTAGCCCAAGCTGGAGTGCAGTGGGCAATCTCAGCTCACTGCAACCTTCGCCTCTGGGACTCAAGCGATTCTCCTGCCTCAGCCTCCCAAGTAGTTGGGACTACAGGCATAAGCCACCACACCTGGTTAATTTTTTGGTATTTTTAGTAGAGACGGGGTTTCACCATGTTGCCCTGGGTGGTCTCAAACTCCTGAGCTCAGGTGATCCACCAGCCTTGGCCTCCCAAAGTGCTGGGATTACAGGCGTGAGCCACTGCACCTGGCCTCATGTCTTCTTTTACAATATAACATGTTCTAACTTTACTTTCCATTCACATTGCTGCATTTTAGCAAGAGCCCTCAGACGTTTTCCAAAATTCCTTAATTGAACAGGACCTGTTTTTACTCTCAGTCCTCCAATCCATTTGGCACAATAGCGCTAGATTAAAATTTACATTTCTTTACACTGAATTCAAAACCTTCACTGACTTTCCACCTCTTAAAAAATCAAGTTTTGACTTCTTACCCTAAAAGACTTTAAAATCTACCTCCCATTTACTGTTCTAATGTACCTCTTTCCAATTCCGATCAGAAAACTCTACAGGCAAATGTCTTTGGTCTTTGTGCTTTCCACTTTGCCCTTTATCCTTTGTCCCTTTTTAGTTTCTTTGAGTTTATGTTGTTCCTCTAACCTAGAAAACAGTTTCTCCCTCTTATCTAAACCCTCCACATCCTTCAAAGCCTAATTCATGCCGCATTTCCTCAAAAAAACTTTCCCTACCAGGGAAAGGACTTTGTGTTGATTCCTTGGCATTTATTACAAGCCACTTTTTATTCAGTGTTACTTTTATATACTCTCCTTTCTGATTATGGAAATCTTTAAGGGCAGGAAGTATCTTTTACCTCCTTAGAGTTTCACTACTACCTAGCACCATGCCTTGCACAAAGCAGAAATTTTTATTATTATACTTGAATATTTCTGAATAATTATTAAACAATATTGGCATAGCTTTTGTTACATACCCAAAACACATGTATCTTGTATCACTACAAAAATTACAAAATGTAAACAAGATAGAGTATCACTCTTGTTTTTATATAACATGAATCAGTACATGTGTGAACTAAAATATTTCATGCAACTTTTCATTCCATAACAATTTTCCTTTTGACTTAGATGATTAAGGCAAAAGAAGCAAACCTTTAGAAACTTTATTTCTCTCATCGCAATTTTGTTGACAGATTTCTCTGGTCTCTCATAAAATATCTTAATGGCCACTATCTGCCCAGTATTCTTATGTTTACATTTCATGACTGTTCCGTAACTTCCCTCTCCCACTTTTCCAAGGGTTTCATACATCTCCATTTTCAAGCTGGGCTTTTACTACTTTATAGAAATGAAGAAAGAAAATGGAAAATGTTAAACGTTTATACTTTTATTTATTCAAACTAATAATCATATCCACAATAAACCCATAGTTTCAAATAACAGAGTCATTAAACAAACAAACAACAAGAAAGGAATCTTTTCCACTGGGCTTTTTTAGCATGAGTAAGGTGTCCTTCTGAGGCTCCAACTCTCACCAGAACTTAGGGGTAGTACTCCTGCTGTCTCGGTCATGCCCAATAACACCTTGAGATTACCTCACTATAAGTCACCATCCATCAAGCATGGGGTCCCCACAATTCCTGTCATGTTCCTGTCAAATAAGAAGTTCCTGCTCTACAGCAGTCGCCTACTTATCAGGCCCAAGGTCATAAAAATGACCGGTCCCGCCCTCAATTCAAACCAGACGTCTTAGGATGCCGGACCGGCGTCACACCCCACGTCCAGCTGTCGACTTTATCCAAACAGCTGCCACCGCCTCAGCCCATTCTGTGGTCCCGCTGGCCTGGCTCTGCGTAGTTCCAGTGGGGCCACGGAACACTGACCCTACTTTGTTGGTTAGGTCCTAGCCAAGGCTCCGGCCACTCGCTACCATGGAAACGGCGGTGGGGTTGCTGCGTTCCAGCCCTAGTGCGCAACACCGGAACGTGATCAAGGTCCCGACCCGGAAGGGAAAGCGAGAAGAAACGGAACCCGTTCTGGGTAGGCGCAAGGGGGAAAAGTTCTTGGGATTTGGGTGGGCAGTACAGGTTGCTGTCGCAGCTAAGCCTCCTCACAAGGTTACTTTTGAATGGAGGTGGGGAGCGTCCGCATTTTTTTTTTTTATTTTTTATTGAGACAATCTTGTTGTGTTGCCCAGGCTGGAGTGCAGTGTCGCAATCTCGGCTCCTTGCAATCTCCAACTCCCGGGTTCAAATGATTCTCTTGCTTCAGCCTCCCGAGTAGCTGGGATTACAGGCATGCGCCACCACGCCCGGATAATTTTTGTATTTTTAGTAGAGACGGGGTTTCTACCTTGTTGGCCAGGCTGGTCTCGAACTTGGACCTCAGGTAATCTGCCTGTCTCGGCCTCCCAAAATGCTGGGATTACAGGGGTGAGCCGTCACGCCTGGCCAACATGGTTTTTAAATCAAAAACTTCTTGAACACATACCATATGCCTTTTAATTTTTTCCAACTGTTAGTAATTTTTTTTTTTTTTTTTTTAAAAAGAACCCTCCCTCACCACATGTCAAACTCTAGGCAAGCAGGTAATTCGAAGGGTTCTATCACATAGGAAGTGATGTACAAGGGCACAGAAATAAAGAGGCCGGAGTCTAATTGCTTAAGTAGACAGAGTTCGGCTGGAGTGACAGTCCCTAATGAATAACCACCACATCACTAGAGCAAGTCCCTAAAGAGTGCTTTTTTTTTTTTTTTAATTGAATAGAGCTTTTTTTTTTTTCTTTTTTCTACAAAATGAGTTAAATGTAAAAGGCGAAATCTCGCTATGCTTCCCCTAAATAAGAGAAAAAGCATTAATTCTAGTCCGGTGGGTCTCACCCCATCATGCATATTTAAATCGCACCTGGAGGGCTTTTAGAAAGCAACTCGCAATCTCCACGTCCACACCAGTACCCAGAGAGACTGATTTAATTGGGATAGCGTAAATAAATTAGCATTTTTAAAGCATCTCAAGTTTTCTATGCTGCTAGGGTTTATATTGAGAGAAAGGAGAAGTGGTCATGGTTTTCATTGATCAGCTAAAATATTCAGAATTGTCTTTCCTTTGAACGTTATTGAACCACAATGTAAAATGCCTTCTGCAAGTAAGAATGTCACAGTAAATCTTACAGTGGGCTCAAACTTGATGTAAACATACTATTGTGGGCTAAATATTTGCAAGGAGGCTGCACACAGTGGATCATACCTGTAATCCCAAGGAGGCCAAGACGGCTTGAACCCAAGAGTTCCAGACCAGCCTGGGCAACAGGGCAAAACCCCATCTCTACAAAATTTAGAAAATATAAAAATCAGCCAGGCGTGGTGGTGCACACCTGTGGTTCCAGCTACTTGGGAGGCTGAAGTGGGAGAACTGCTTGAGCCTGGAAGGTCAAGGCTGCAGTGAGCCCTGTTCACGCCACTGCACTCCAGCCTGGGTGACAAAGCAAGACTCTGTCTCAAAAAATAAAAAGAAAAAATTTTCCCAGGAGAAAAATGAACCAAACGGAGTTCCTTTGCTGCCCTCAGTGAGTTCATAATCCAGAGCTACAGAATTGATAACAGCATACAATTGATAGCTTTAAAATTATTCCTTCTACAACTTCTACAAGTTGTGGCAGGCCTGGTTAATCAGGACATCCAGCGATTCTTGCTAATACACAATTGTAAGACTTTATGATGCAGATTCACTGAATTAGTCAAAAGTGTTATTTCATTTTGGAAAATAATAAACTGTTTCCAAAATAATTGTAAATCCCTGTGGTCACTGAATTCCTTACCTCTCTTGCCTCCAGTTCCCATCTTCAGGACTTCGTTGGTCAGTCAGGAGGATTCTGAGCACATTTGTATCCATTTAGGAAATTCTTCAGCTCAGCAGGGAAAGGGAGGGTAGGAGGAGGACCTCAGCATTGTCCTAATCTTGCCCATAGTTCCATGGAACCAGAAAGGGTTAACTTTTTCCACTTTCCTTGTACCTCCCTTTCTGCAAACCCTGAATTGTCTCTGCTTTCAGTGACTGCGTTGACTGGTAAATTACAAGGTTTTTTGGGGTTTTTTTGCTGTTTTTTTTTTGAGACAAGATCTCAGTGGCACGATGATGGTTCACTGCAGCTTCAACTTCCTTGGCTCAAGCAATCCTTCTGCCTCAGCCTCCCGGGTTGCTGGGACTACTGGTGTGTGCCACCATGCCTAGCTAATTTTACTTTTTGCAGAGACAGGATCTCCTGTTTTGTCGAGGCTGGTCTCAAACTCCTGGCCTCCCAAAGTATTAGGCTTACAGGCATGAGCTAATGCCTCAGCTCATGAGGAATATTTTTAAGATATAGTTTCTCTTGACCATTTTTCTCCATGTAACCATACGTGTGTATCTTTTGCTATTGGAAGGGTTAGGACTGCAGTGGCAGAAAGGCAAAAAAAAGAATATTCAGCTTTTTACTTAGAAAACACATTGTGAATGTTTAACAGGACCTATCAAGAGTTAGGCCTGGCTAACTCGATCACCAAGGCAGTCACTGGAAGCAGAGAGAGAATTCGGGGTTTGAAGAAAGGAAGATGGAAGGAAAGTCGGAAAAGTTAACTCTGCTTCCATGGAACTATGGGCAAGGTTGAGGTAATGCAAAGGCCTTCATTCCACCTTCCCTTTCCCTGTTGAGCTGAAGGATTCCCCAAATGGATACAGAAGTACTCAGAGTCCTTAGTATAACAAAGTCCTGAAGGTAGGAATTGGAAGCAATAGAGGGAAGGACAGTAACTACAGAAAATATTCAAGGTCTGTGGGAGGTCAACACTTCTGAACCCCCTGGTGATGGGGGGGCACTTCTGGCCCATTTGCACTTTACTTGCTAGTGTGGAAAACCTGAAGTTATCTCAGGCTAGATTTATAACCCTCACTCATGTCTACAGGATCTCTCCCCCAGGTATGAATCATATTTGTAGGTTTCTTTGACAACCAACCACTCATTGATATGCCTGGAAGTCTGCACCCCCACATTCCTTAAAAATACAATGATACACCCCCCCC